ATCTCCAAGGGTTGTAGAGCTGGAGGAGATAGAGAGAGAGGAAGGCCGTAGAGAGATTTGAACACAAGGATGAAAAATTTAAAATCAAAGCATTGCTGAGTCAGGTCAGTGAACACAGGAGGATCATAGACACAAAATATAATTGCAGCTGGTTTGCCACAGTCAGGAGTTTATTCTGGACTCAGCCTTGGAAATGCTCAAAGCACAATTGTGGTTTCAGTCAAAAGCTTGTATGTGCTACAAATAGATTAACTGCATTATCAAAGTATATCAAATCAGTCCTTAAATCACACTGTTCATTGGCTGCCGATAGAGGCTTGTCTCTGTACATTTGCATTGCTGTAGCTCTGGCCTCGTGAACATACCCAATTTTAATCACTTCACCACTGAAAGCTGAGCTTTCAGCTGCCTGGGCCCTAAGCTTTGAAATTCTTTCCATAAGTCTCTCTAACTCTCACCCTCTCCTCTTTCCTACAAAAATACAAGTCAAGAGCAGGAATAGGCCATTCAGCCCCTCGAGTCTGTTCCAAAATTTAATAAGATCATGCCTGTTCTATTTGAAATGTCAAATTCTCATTTCCGTCTCCCATTCTTAGCGAGAATCCATCCACCACTGCCTTAAAAATATTTAAGGACTCTGCTACCACCATCTTTTCAGGAAGAGTTCTAAAGACTCACAATCCTTGTGAGGAAAAAAATGCATCATCTCAATTTTAAATGGTTGAATCCTCAGTCTTAAACAGTGACCCTTTAAGTATTCCTTCAAACCCCTTTGACCAAATTTTCAAATTTCCTTACAAAACTCTTTAACAAATTCTGTTTGATAATGTTTCTATGAATCATCCCAGCTTGTTCTCATATATTATGGCACTATAGAAACACTTATTAGTGAACTATCAGGAATTAAAGACAACCCTACAATTGCAACTTACACATTTTTTGAAAGCTGAATTCAAATTTTCAGAGTGTTCAGGTGATATTTGGCCACACATTTCTTGTACGATTAGTCTGGCAGCACAAGTTTGTCTGTGTATCCTCGCAGAAAGAGAAAGAAAAAAATAGATAGACATAGAGCAATAGAGAAAGATAGAGACTATACCAACAGCAGCAATTCTGTGTTCACTTGCTGTCCTCTGCTGGTGTCTCCTGCCAATTACACATAAAACTCATCTTCAATTCAGAAAAGCACACACGCAATACAAAGAACTTGCATTTCTCTACTGCCTTTCACATCCCAAAGCGCTTCAAAATCAGTGAGGTGCGTTTCTGAGGTGCAGCCACCATTTATGGTAATGTAGGATCAATCAATTTTCACACAGCAAGCTCCCACAAACAGTACTGTAACGACAATGAGATCATTTGTTTTAGTGACACTGGTTCAAAAATAAATGTCTTCCCCCTACACAGAGGAGAACTTCCCTATTCTTCTTCAAATATCTCCAAGATGGTGGTAGAGTAGGGTAGGGTAACGCTGAGCCCAGGGCTCGTCCACTCCATCCGCTTTTCTTCTCTTTTCTTTCTTTTTTGTTCTCTTTTCTTGTTTTTGTTTTCTTTTTATTTACTTCTTGTGAAGAGCTCGGTTGCGGTGATGGCGATGGTGAGGTGAGCCCAGTGCCGACTCGCGGTGGCGGGATCAGAGGTAAGTTTGGGTTCCCACGGTGTCTGCATCCAGCACAGATTCACAGAGGCAGAGGCTGAGGCAAGTTTGGGCCTATTTGCAGACCCACCAGCACTGGCGGTGGCTGCAGCGGAGAGGTGGGCCCAGAGCAGACCCTTGGTGGTGGCGTCGGGAGTCCAATTTGGGCTGGTGTGGGACATGGCAGCATCAGCGGCAGTTGCACTGGCAAGGTCCAGTGAGGACTCATGGTGATGGCAGCATTAGTGGAGATGAGATGGCACTGGAGAGTGGCAGCTCTTGTTTCAACCATGCAGCAAGGTGTCTCGTGGCTGGCTGCTCCAGGACCATGGCTGAGCACTTAACAAGAAGGACTGTAAAGTTGTACTCTTTTATTTTTACTTTTCTCCCTATTTATTGTGTTTTGGTTTATTTTTCTGTGTTTAAGATGGAGCTGGAGAGTGGTGACACTGCACACCACTTTTCACTCTATTTTATAAGAAAATACACTTCGCGACAAATAAATTTTTAAAAAATTACTATGGGCTCTTTTACCTCCAGTTCAGTTTAACATCTCATCCAAAAGACAGCATGTCCAATTCTGCAGCATTCCCTCATTATAGCATTAGGAATTTGGAATTGGATCTGAGCCCATAAATATCTGACTTAAGAGGACAGAGTGTGTTACAACTTAACTTAGAAGACAATAGTCAAGCCTCACTATTCCACAAGCTTTCATAAAACGTAAAGACCCAATTTAAATCATTAAGGTGACCATTAATTTGCCTGACTGACTGCTATTCAGGACGGACACAACAAGTTTCATCATTAACAGGAAAATATTATTTACTGTAAACAAACTTATTATTTAACAAATGACAGAGAAAAAAAGGTTACCGATCTAGTACAATGCAACTAAAACTACACCCCTTTAAACACCAAATACACATAGACTGACACAAATAAGACAGAAAAGACAGACGGATTTGCACAAATATTAAAGGTGGAGAAATATAAATAGGTAAACCAAAATTTAGAAGATGAAAAGTTCAGTTCACAATGGGTTAAGTTGTCTCTCATTGTTCTTTTCATGTTAGTAATGATGGCACATTGTTGTCTGTAGACTGACAGTCATTGAATAGTTGATTAGGTTGATCTACGTCTTTTCTCGCATTCAAATTCTTTCTTTTAACTTTCTGTGCTTTCTGTCTTTTCACTCACACAGAGAGAAGGGAGAGAGAGATGTCCTCTGCTTGCCATCTCTGAATAGTTCCAGCTGCACCACTCCCACCAGTTTATAGCAAACAGCAGCTAAACTAATCTGAAAGCTATTGTCAGGCAGTTTCACCCAAAAGGTCTTGGTACCACTCTGACTCAAATATGTAATAATTGCACTGCTTCAAAAGCAACATTGCCTTGCATAGTTAAAAGTGTGTTCCACTTGATTTTTCCAAGTTGCAAAGCTCTCCAGGTATTATTGCTATATCGCAGAATCTTTCCAGTTTATGGTCCAAAAAGGAAAAGAATGTCACTGAGTCATACAGTACAGAATGGCTCCTCAGTCCACGTGTATATGAACTAACAAACATCAAATTGCTAGCCAATTTTGGGTCTAGTTTGCCAACTTGCCACGGACCTCAGGGACTCTTTAATTCTGGGCCAGCCTTCCACAGTGGATCTTGTGAAAGGCCTTATTGAAGTCCATGTAAACCACATTAACTGCACTGCCCTGCTCAATATATTTAACTTTTTCAAAAAAACCTCAGTTAAACTAGTTACACAGGATCTTCCTCCAAAAAATCTGTGCTATCCCTGTTCTTACCCTGCATTTCAAACTGTTGATTAATCCTGTCCCTCAGAATTTGTTCTAATAATTTCCCTACCACTGATGTCAGACTAACTGTCTGTAATTATCTGGCCTATCACTGCTGCCCTTCTTAAACAAAGGAACGACATTAGCTATCCTCCAGGCATCTGACATTTCACGAGACCAGCAAAGTATTAAATATCTCCACCAGGGCGGGACTTGAACTCAGCATCCTGGAGCATGGAAATCATACTTGATTCATTTCTACAGCCATTGTATGCTGACCCCTTGTATAATCTCCACCTGCCCAACACGGTCACTTATAAGCATGATCCATTGAGACAAAATTCAAAAGAATTACATTACATTCTCATTTGTTCTTTGTTCAAAGGATATAAGTCATATTTTCCCACAACTTAATTATTCATGAGAAGTTGCTAGCAAGCCATGTTAATGAACCTGTGTCCTTGTGGTATTGGTACCCCCACAGTGATGCTAGGAAGCAAGTTCCAGGATTTTGACACAGCACCAGTGAAGTGTGATATATTGCCAAGTCAGGACGGTGAGTGACTTGGAGGGGAACTTGCAGCAGGTGGTGCTCCCATGTATCTGCCACCCTTCCCTTCTAAGTAATAGGGGTCATGGTTTTTGTAGGTGCTGTCAAAGGGAAGCTTGGCGATTTGCTGCAGGACATTTTGTGGATCTACACAATGCAACCAGTGGTGGATAAAGTGGAAGATGTGTGCTGATCAAGCAGCTTGTTTTCTCATAGGATGGTATTGAGCTTCTTGAGCAGGTAAGATGTTTTCCCAAGTATGTTTACAGCGGAAGTTGATAGATTTCTGATTACCAATGGCATAAAGGGCTCTGGGAACAGTGAATGAAAGCATTGAAATGTCCATGATCATATTAAATGGCAAAGCAAGCTCAATGGGCTGAATGGCCTACTTCTATGTTCTTATTGTTAGAGTGGCCCATATCCAGGCAAGTGTGGAGTATTCCATTTCACTACTTACATGTGCGTTTAGATGGTGGACAGGATTTGAGGAGTCAGGGGATGAGTTATTTGCTGCAGGATTCTTAACCTCTGATCTGCTCTTGCAGCTACAGTGTTTATATAGCTAGTCCAATTCAGTTTACATAGTTAATGGTGACCCTCCCGTTTTGCACATTGATAGTGGGGGATTCAGCGATAGTAATACCATGGATGGTCAAGCAGAGATGATTAGATTCTTGCTTGTGCTTTTCACAACCTCAGAAATTCATTGTTGCAATGCAGAAAAAGGGTAGCCATTTTGCACACAACATCCCAGAGAAAACTTAAGATCAATAACCAGCTGTAACCTAAGTTCAATGTGCTAGATTCAATATAACCAATGTGACTTAAGGCTTCTTTAAGTAAAGACATGGTGTTGATCTCTGTTATATGAAGAACTTTATATCAGACTCAGGATAGCTTTTCACTAATTTAAAAGCTGTTCCATTGTTGCTCCTCTTGATTTTCAGATAAAGTTAACTTTTCTGAAATTAAATACTTAACATTTCATTGTTTGCTAATTCACATACACATACAAATAGTTAATTTCCACACGATTTTTATTGGAGAACTTGACATGATTTCAAGGCACTTATCGCAATTCAACTTAAACATTTTTAAGACAGCTTCAGGCGAATGTCTATTTCTTTATTAAAAATCACATTTTCTTCCAGTTAATGCCTTAAACGTTCACTGAATAGCAGTTTAATGTCTGAGATGACAGGTCCAACAGTGCAGCACTCCCACAGTAGTAACTGTCTGAGCATACAATACCCTCTCACCTATACAATGGGAGTGTTGACTTTGAATACACAAAGTCTTAGAACCCAGCTCAAAGCACTTGAACTCAGAGTCAAGACTATTACCCAACAAACCTGCTGATGCAGCACCATTTGGCAATGAAGGAATGAATTACAGGCCTGTAGGATCAGGCTAGATGAGCAAGGTGCATTTATATACAACCTTCAACAGAGAAAACTGTCCGAAGATGCTTCAAAAAAGGTTCATTCTCAAAAATGGACACTAGGTCACACTCAGAGAGTGGTACTCAAAGATCAGTCTAAAAGATCAGCTTTAAACAGCATCTTAAAAGAAGTCAAAGCAGAGGAGAAAGTTTAGGGATGGAGTTCCAGAGAATATGGCAGAGGCAGCTAAAAGCACATCTGCTAACTGTGAAGCTAATGAGGAGGAGGTGCATAAAGATTTGAGATCACAGGAAGAAAGACACTGAGACATTCTACATGGAAGAAACTGGAGCTGATCCAAGAGGTTTAATTCAGATAATCAAAATTATGGCAGGTGTTTGACAGATTAACTAAAGAGAAACTGTTCCTGGCGGCAGGTGGGTTGGTGATCAGATTGACGGTGTTTGGCTAAAAGAGGAGAGTGAAGACAAGGAAATACTCTGTGATCTGGAACGAATTGCCTTAAAGAGCAGTGGAAGCAGATTCTGTAATAACTTTCAGAAAGGAACTGGAGAAATAGTTGAAGGGGAAATATTTGTAATCACGATGTAAAAAAAGCAGGGGAAAGGGAAAAATGGGATAGCACAACCATGATAGATTGAATGGTCTCCTTCAGTGCAATAAGATTCAGTGATACACAATGGTTTATATCATATATTTATATAGCACCATTAATATAATAAAATTATCCCATTGTGTTTCAAAGGAGCATTATGAAACAAATTATGACACTGAGCCACATGAAGAAATATTAAGTCAGCAATCAAAAGCTCAGTGAAAAAGGTGGGTTTTAAGAGGCATCTTTAAGGAAAGAGAGAGGCAAAGAGGTGTAGGAGGAATTCAAGAGCTTCAGCCCCAGGAAACTGAAGGCACAGCCACGTATCTTGGAGTGAATAAAAGTGGGGATGCTCATGGAAACCGAACCTGGAGGTGCACAGAAGTGGGGATGCTCATGGAGACCGAAATTGGAGGTGCACACAGGGTTCTGAGACTGGAGGAGATTCCAGAAATAGGGAAAGGTATGGCCATGGAATGATTTAAACATAAGGATGAGAATTTTAAAATCAAGTCGTTGCTTTGACTGGGAACCACCGTAGTCCAGTGGGTGCAGGGTGGTAGTAGAGCAAGTGCACTTAAGGCCGCAAGACTTGGGATGGCCACAAGTTTACAAAGGATAGAATGTGGAAACCAGCCAGCATGCATTAGAATGCTTGGGTGTGGAGGTAAAAAAGGTGTGAATGAGAGTTTCAGACACAGATGAAGTGAGACAGGGGCAAAACTGGACAATATTGTGGAGGTGGAAAAAGGCAGTGTGTGATGGCCCAAATACAAGTTTCAGAGTTCATGTCAGGGTCAAATGTTACTGCTTATTCTTTCACAGGACATGGATGTTGCTGGCAAGGTCGGTATTTATCGGCCATCCTTAATTACCCTTGAGAAAATGGTGGGAGCTGCCTTCTTCAACCACAGCAAACCATGTGGTGTAGGGATAACCACAATGCTGTTCAGGAAGGAGTTCTCAAATTTTGACCCAGTGATACTAAAGTAACAGTGACACATTTCCAAGTCAGGATGGTGTGTAGCTTGGGACAGAACTTGGCAGGGGTAGTGTATCTGCTGGTCTTGTCCTTCTAGGTGATACAGGTCACTGATTGGAAGGATTTGTCAAAGGAGCCTTCATGAGTTACTGCAGTGCATCTTATAGATGGTACACATTGCTGCCCCAATGCATTAGTGGTGGAGGGTGTGAATGTTTGTGCACGTGATGCCAATCAAGTGGGCTGATTTGTTGTGAGGATTCATGAGTGTTGTTGGAACTGCACTCATCAGGCAAGTGGACAGTCCTGATTTGTGCTTTGTAAATAGTGGACAGGCTTTTGGGAAATCAGGAATTCAGGTAATCGCTACAGAATCCCTAGCCTCTGAATTGCATGTGTACATAAAGTATTTATATGGCTAGTCCACTTCGGTTTCCAGTCAATGGAACCCAACAGGGTGTTTACTCTCTCTTGTTGAAGATCGTCATTGCCTGGCACTTGTATGACGTAAATGTTGCTTGCCACTTATTAGTCCATGCCTGGATATTGTCCAGTTCTTGCATATGAACGTGAGTTTTTTTCAGCATCTGATGAGTTGCAACATGTGGTAGCAATGTTATGAACGAAATGACTTAATCTCAGACTCTAACCTGAAAGGGATGAAATCAGTAGTTCGGGATTGGAGTTTGGAGTTGCAACCAAAGTCTTTCCAATATTTATTTGAAGGAAATTTCTGTTCATTCTGTAGCTTTTGGGCTTTGGGAAGGGCAACAAATGCTGGCCTAGCCAGTGATGTCCATAGCCCTTGAAAAACAATTTTAAAAAGCAATCTGATAATTTAGCAACAATGGAGAAGTCAAAAGAGGTGATTTTGAGGTAGAGTCAGCTGTTTCCAGCTTACATGTGAAAAGTAGTGTTGATCATATAGATATTGTCACAGAGAGACAGTGTAAATCAGAACTATGAGAGAATAAATCCTTGGCAAAGACCAGACGTAGAAGGAGCAAAAGACCAGCCATTGTAAGTGATTCTCTGCTAGGATCAGATAAGAATGGAACCAGGTGAGAGCACTCCCTTCCAGCCTGACGATAGTGGGGAGGTGTTAGAGGAGGACGGTGTGGTCACTGTGACAGGAAGGAAAGTCTACGACAGTCACATCACACAGAATGTCATTGGTGAGTTTGATAAGAGGTATTTCAATACTGTGGCAGCAGAAGAAACCTGATTGGAGGGATTCAAAGATTGGATTCCTGGAAAGATGAAAACAGATTTGGGGGGAAGCAACATGTTTAAGGGCCTTGGTGATGAACAGGAAGTTGGAGATGGGACACTAGTTTGCAAACAGAAACAGTCAAGAGTTGGTTTTGTGAGGAGAGGGTGATGTCGGTGGGTTAAAAGGAGAGAGGGACAACACCTGAACAGAGAGAACTGTTTACAATATCGGGAAACATGGAGGTTACAAGGGGAAGTCAGGCAGTGTTTAGTAGGAAGAAGATGAAGGGAACATAAGATGGGTCTAATGGACAGGATGAGCTCAGAGAAGGAGAGAAGAGTTTAACTAGAGAAAGATGTGAGGTCAGGGCTGGGTGGGGAGTGGGGATGAATTGAAGGGCGTTTGGTCAGGAGGGTGAGTGGGAAGGAGGGACACGCAGAGACAGGTGAGTGGACTGTCTCAATCTTAGTGACGAAGAAACTCCATGAGCTCTTCACACTTGTTATTGGAGGAGAGGCTGGTGGGGTCAGGGTGAGGTCGAAGTGGAGATCAGAAATAAGAGGTTTAAACAGGCAGATCACTGTATATAAGCCAGGGGTTATTTTTGCATATTGCTAGGGTGAACCTGGAACAATGAACAGTTTGTGCAGATGAGTGGAGAGCTGGATAATGTTTTAAAGTGGTCAAGCTATTTCTGACAATGGATGGTTAAATCACTTATCTGCCATACTGTTTCAAATCTGTATCCCTTGGACTAATGGAAGTAGAGGGGGATGGTGGGACCAGATGAGTGTGAGTAATGGACATCATAATTCTGGGTGAGAGTTCAGTCGAGTAAATCAGAATCTGCAGAAATATCTCGCAAATGGTGAGCCTAAGGCTAGATACTTTGAATAGTTAATGTCACAAAGGCAGTGGAGACAGTTAAGAGTGACAGGGTAGGAAGATAAAGCCACGAATCTTCAGTGTACACAGAGGACGTATATCATGTGTCTTCACTGGAGCTGCAACATACAAATGGGAGAAAAGGAAGGGACCAAGACTGGATCCTTGGGTGATCCCAGGAGTAAACGAGTGCAGCGTGTGCGAGAACAGCAGGTTCTCTTGGTACAATTGCAAACGCTCACACGGGGTGATTTGACCTGGAAATCCGATCGTAAAGTCAATGTACAAAATAGAAGAGGGCTGGTGGTCTGCTTGCTCATAGCCACAGAAGAATGTTTCCACTTATGTTCAGAATGTTGGCAAACCTCCTTGCTCAGTCTCCAAATCCTTGGACATCGAGAGGACCTTGGGTCACCCCTGGGCAGACCGGCAACAGCCAATGTCTCTCAGGAAGTGCATGTTGCTCCTCTCCATTCTGCCACACTATATCCAGGAATGAATCAAATGAGAGATCCTTGCAAGGAGAGGGAGAGAAAAAACATATTGCTCCAAACTGAAGTTTTGCGGTATTAATATTTTAAACTGTTTGCTTCAGGTGCACTCTGCACCCCCACCCCCTCAAAAGCCAAAGTCATGGCATCTGTTAGGCCTCCCCAGGTGGTTGCACCTGTCCACAGAGAAGCAGGAAGACAGGGAGAGGCTTCCCTTTTATCACATCATCTTAGGAACAATCATTAGGAAATGTAACAGCCATGTTCAGTGGGTAGCATGCACACACAGTTAGAGGCTCATGGGTTGAAGTCACACTCCAGAGATGTGTGCACAAAGTTAAGGCCTGTGCGGTGCTGAGGGAGCCCCATACTTTCAAGAGAGGTGCCATCTCTTGGAAGAGATGTTAAACTCAGGTTGCCCCATCTCTTTCAAGTCGGGTTCAGTGTCCTGGAACTACTATATATCCCTCAATCAATGTGACTGAAAACAAGTGATCTGCTTGATGATCATTTTTTTTTCTGATTCTGAGATCTTGTGCCTCACATTTGATACAACAGTGATTATGGTTCAAAAATACTCCATTGGCTGTAAAGAACTTTGGGACATCCTGTACTCCTGAATGGTGCTACAGAAATGCAAGTTCTATCCTTCCTTGACTTTCCCTCAGTCCTTTGCACCAATTGGTTTCATTATAGATGTTACTAAATCTTAATCAACTTCAGCCTATTGCATGGTTCCAGAAGATTTATCCCATGTCCCCACTGATCATTCCTTACTTACCACACAAAGAGCATCAGTATGTGTTTTAAGTACCTGACACCCAATCTCGAACAGCAGACTGTAGGCAGCCTTTAGACTCTTGTTAAAGGTATATAGGTCCTCCAGTCCAGTTAAACTTGTAGGGTCAAAGTAAATATTCTGTCAGGCAAATGAAAACATAAACAGATTGACTGAGTATTATTCAAAGCTGTCTGCTCATTCCCAATGTGCATCCTAATACCTACCTCTCTGCTGTAGGCAATGTTGGAATTAAAATCTCCAGGATGAAGACCACAACGCCAACAAAAATTCAGGAACCTTACACATTGTTTGAAGATCTTTCTGTAGTCAAAAGCAATTTCTCTTGGTCTTCCAAATCCTGGAATGCAATGAATAATTTATCTTTGTTGCTTGTTACAACCCTCTTTAGCCCATTTTCTTTGTGACGATCCCAAAATAATGATTTAATCCAAGTAAATCCCCAATTTACCTGTCTGATGAAATCAAGTTAACAGAAAACACAGACAAGTTAGAGTACTTATCAAGAACCACTGCATATGACAAATAAATACATTCTAATCACAGGTAAACAAAACTATGAACTATTAGCTCTACCTTTTGAAATCGTAACACCCCTTTTAAAACAGACACTGACCAACAACGGCTGATGTAAAAAACACAGGGAAACTCAGTTCAACAGCGCCAGTCCGCAGGATTCGATGACATGTTCCTTTTGCTTCCCAAGACCTTCTGTCCTCTGAACTCTTTCTTCAGAATCTTTAACATTTTCACAGGAGGCACAGAGCAATTGGTAAACTAATTATAAAGCTTCTTAGTTACTGGTTAAAGGCAACAGCTTATAACAACCTGGTGGAGAAAATAACTGGCTTTCTTCAGGCTTCAGTTATTTTTACTGCAGAGAGATAGCGACACAGAGCTTGCTCTTTCAGCAGTCCATAGGCTTCTCTTCCTTTATTGTAAACACTCAAGTGATTCACCTGCCCAAGAGCCAATCAGAGAGTTGTTGTCAGATTGATGTTTTGCAGGATCTACAACTGGTCATATTTACACAAACCAATCAACAATCTGTTGCTGGATGAATCTCATTCTGTTCAGACGTCCTGGAACCATGGTATCTTATCTCTCCCCTTCCACTGCTGTCAAAGCAACAGTGTAAACACAACTCACAATGAATTTCAGCAATTTCTTTTTAAAAGTGCAGCAATTCCTGACACAGTCCTTGGTATTAAATAGTTCTTTTTTCATTTATTAACACAACCAAAATGAAGAAAAGTAAAAGATAAAATCTTAACATCCTGCATTGTGGTAGGCTAATAGTCCATGACAGTGCACAATTTCAGCTTTGTCAAACTACGCTATATCCCCAAACTATCTCCAATAAAAACCGAAAGTGATGGAGAAACTCAGCAGGTCTGGCAATATCTCTGGAGACAGAAACAGAGTTAATGTTTCAAGTCTGATATGACAGTTCTTCAAAACCACAGGTTCTGAAGAAGGGTCACTGGACTCAAAACATTAACTTCTTTTTTTCCAGACCTGCTGAGTATCTCCAACAATTTCTGTTTTTGTTTGTTTCAGATCTCAGCATCCGCAGTTCTTTATTTTGTTCTGCAACACTTTCTTTTTTCATTTCAGGTTCCTAGTACAGCAAACCTTTTATTAACAAACAGCTATGGGACCAGGAGTGTGCTGGTTGATCATATATCCTGGTTGATCAATAGGTCCACCTAATCAATGTAAAAACACACACTAACCAATAGGAACGTAATGCAGGAGGTATATACATCACTGTTGTACTTTATTTACAGCATAAATCACCTAATGATGTAAATTTGTCTTAATAAAACTTATTGGCAGGGAGCCTTCTCACTCGCACCTTCAACAGACTATTTGGATATCGCAGAGATTGCGATAATGCAGTAAATTTCCTGTATTTGAGGTATATAATTTTTGGCAGTTTATCAAGAAAGGCAGTTCACAAGGTTCCAGTTAAAACAAAGTATGCTGTATCTGCAATATTTTACTTTTTCTTCTGGATTGCTTTGTTACCCAAACTATTCCTGTTTGATCTGCTTGGACTTTTTCTGTACCCACATTTCCAAGTTTCGATTCTAAGTAAGGAAGCAGGTTTTGCGGCTGCCACAAGGTTGGAAAGAGGAATAGACAGAAATTGCGAAAAATCAAACTGAGGTGAAAGTCTTTAAATTGGGGACTGTATTTTTTTAAAAAGAATAATTTAGCATCTTACCAATCACTGCTCTATCCTGCGTTAAATAAAGTATTGATCCTGTGCGGTCACACATCACAGCGTAAGGCATGAGCACGGTCACATCCGGCTGCAGTCTCAAGAAATTCTGGAGTTTCTTCTGCCAGTCTGAGAGAACCGATACCTGGCAACAGAAAGATGCAGATTAGGATAGGTTCAGAGCAACATTAATCAGAGGCAGATATTGAACAAATGTGCAAGTTAACTCTTATCAATCAAATATGCAGAGGTGCATATTATATAATTTTTTGGATTGTCTTGGTTATTTCTTATTGATCAAATAAACTCATGTTCTGTTGTTAAATACTTCTGTACCAGTGACTAACAACCACGTTAAGCAATTGCAGAAAACTAAATATCGAATCTATTTATTTATTCTGGGTTTCATTCTAGGATCTGACTTGTCCCATATTACCAACAGTTGAGATCATAATAAATTCTAAGCAGTAAAAAAACGCACCTGCTCAAAAAGATTGTGACCATATTCAAGAAAGACAGTCCAAATCTCCACCCACAAGTACTGATCCCCAGGGTTGTACAGTGACAAACCTGCCCCACCAGTACTGAACTCCAGAGCGACTCAGTGTCAGACTAGTACTGTACTTCAACGTTATACAATGAAAGACCTCTCCCACTACAATACCCCAGAGCTGACAGATCTGTCTCCACCAGTACCATACTCCAGTATTACACAGTGACACACCTGTCCCTACCAGTACAGTACCCCAGAGTTAGACAGTGAGAACCTATCCCCACCAGTACTGTACGCCAGTGTTACACAGTGACAAACCTGTCCGAATCAGTTCTGTAACCCAGTGTTACACAGTGACGGACCTGACTCTACCAGTACTGTGTCCCAGGGTTAGACAGAGACAGACCTGTCCCCACTAGTATTTTACCCTTTATACCATGACAGACTTGCTCCCACTTGTCCTGTAACCCCGTGTTACAGTGATAGACCTGTTTCCACTTGGATATGCCTGTGTCTTATAATGACAGACCTGTCCCCAATAGTATTGTTCACCAGTGTTAGTGACATATCTGTCCACACCACTGCAGTATCCCAGTTTTACGCAATAACTGTTTTGTTCCACCAGTACTGTGACCCACTCTTATACCTGAACTGATAATTAAAAATCAACAAAGATTGCTATGATTGGTAGCTTCTCATTTTCATTACATCAATCAACTAGCATTGCACGTCTCTGAAATTCTGGTTGCATTAGAGTTTATTATTTCTGTAATCTTCTAAATGCTCTGTAATTACAATGAGCTCCCAAACAGCCAAACTGCTGTTGGAATAGAATGATCAATATCTGCTACTTTTCCAGTCTCTGCCTTGCTACAGCTTTAGTCCCCAAATGAACACAAGAAGGATGAGCCCAATATCCTGAGCAGAGTGTGACAGCCAGTTTACATGCTAATGATCACCATTAATACTAGTGAGAAAATATAGGTCTCTAACTACAGCGAGAGACTTGCTGAACTGTGCCGGGTGCGTGTCAGAGATCCCACTTCACCGGGTGTTGTATGGATGAAAGGCAGGGTTCTAATTTATCCTGGTTAAGGGATTACTGGAGGCTGCAGCTAAATCGAGATAAATGACTTCAATGTTGAAAGTAAGGTAAGCTTTATTAGCAATGAATGATTTTTAAACAGGGAGAAGTTTTTTTTTATTTTCTGTCACTGTTTCTCTCTTCCCTTTAGAAGTGCCTGACTCCTGAATGGGAGCTTTCCACTGAATCCCACCCAATCCTGTATCAATGACAGCCTCACTCCAGATCAGTATATCAGATTAGACAGTGAGTGTCAGTAACTATAGAGTAATTTGCTGCAGAGAAGAGGGCTATTTGGCCCATTGACTCCATGCTAGCTCCCCATGGAGCAATTCAGGTAGATAGGCCCTCCTGTGGACCCCACAGCCTTGCAGCATCATTCCTAACAAATACCCATACAATTTTTTTGTGAAAGCATTGATTGTTTCCACTTGCACCACCCTCATGGGCAAAATGTTCCTGGTCATTACCACTCCATTACCATGGTAGACAGAAGGTCTTTTTGGCTTGACAGCAGCATCCAATTAGTGGAGCATACCACATAATTGAGTAACAAGGCATATGAATTTTATTTCTGATGTGATGCCAGTTACATAGGCTGTCCGCCTAATGACTTACCGAATGGAATGTCTCTTGGGCTGTTTGCAATAGGCAGACTACTGGCAATATTTAACCAGTCTGTGCTTGAAAGACTCAGAAATAATATCCACCACATTACCATAAGATCTACAACTTAACAGCACTTGCTGAACAATCACTAGTATGCTATGAATTACACTAGTGGATAAGAATATCAGAAGCATTTGCAATGAGGCTCAATTGCTTGCTACAATTTATCTATAAACTCATATTGTGCAAGGAAAAGGGACATTTCCAGGCCTGGAAACGTCCTTTCTCCTTGCATTGCAAGATTTTTTTGAATCAAATAAAAATGTGTAGGCAACAATTGTTTCTTGGTCCTTAGTCAACTGGCCAACCAATCAGCACCCTTTTTTCATGCAGTATAAATTGTCACTCTCTGAGATTTTCACAGGTTGACAGCAGGTCTTCTTGATTAGTAACATGGAAATTCTACGTTAGGAAGTTGTTATAATTGAGGTTGATGGATACGCTGATTCCTTTTTAGCCCCGGAAAACACTGCTCGTCATAAATTTTTAAAATTTAGCCAGGGAGGTGAAATGGCTGATTATGTAGGTCTTACACTGGTTTAGTATTGGGAGGAACTCAGCTGGGTTTCTTCCCTCAACAAAGAGTAACTAGCTGATTAAAAATAAAATTTACTCAAACATGCAAAGAAAGGTAAAAGATTTACATTCAAGCATCCAAGCACAATAACACTCAACACTGGAGCCCCCCAACGATGCATCCACAGCCCCCTACTGTACTCCCTGTACACCCACGACTGTGTTGCCAAATTCCGAACAAATGTCATATACAAGTTCACTGACGACACCACCGTAGTAGGAGGGATATCTAACAATGACATGTCAAAATACAGAAGGGAGATAGAAGGCTTGGTGACGTGGTGCAATGAGTACAATCTGTCTCTCAACATCAGCAAAACTAAAGAACTGATCATTGACTTCAGAAAGAAAGGAGGAGAATACACCTCTGACTACATCAACGGAACTGAGGATGAGAGGGTAGAAATTGTCAAGTTCCTCCAAGTGACAATAATGGACAATCTGTCCTGGACTTCCCACGTAGATGAGACAGTCAAGAAGGCACAACAACGCCTCTTTTTCCTTAGGCGGCTCAGGAAATTTGGCATGTCCATAAGGTCCCTCACCAACTTCTACAGATGCACCACTGAAAGCATACTGTCCAGGTGCATAATAGCCTGGTATGGCAACTGCTCTGCCCAGGACTGTAATAAACTACGGAAGCTGGTGTGCACAGTCCAGACCATCACGGAAGCCAACCTTTGATTCACGGTGTCCATTTACACGGCTCGCTGCCGCAGAAAGGCTGCCAACATCATCAAAGACCCATCCCACCCCAGTAATGACCTCCTACAACCTCTTCCGTCAGGCAGAAGATACAGAAACCTGAACACATGCACCGGCAGGTTCAGGGCCAACTTCTTTCCATCCGTTGTCAGACTGATGAATGGACTCTCTAGCCTCAAAAAATGCTGATCTTGCTAACGTTGATTTCACCTAGCTCACACATTGTGCAATGTAACCTGTACGCCTCTGTCTACGTCTTTTCACAAGCTCTGATTTGTACATCCTTGCTTACTATGATCTGCCTGTACTGCTCGTAAACAAAGCAGTTCACTGTACTTCAGTATACATGAGAATAAATCGATCAATCCCAAACTTAAGATGAGGCAAATGCGGGTAACAGACAAACTATAACAGAACACCCCACAGGACACATTAAACACTGGGCCCCAACTATACTATTGATTATGCATCTTCTAACTCCTGGAACCGCTTCCCGAGCTCAAACTACATACAGCCAGCATCCCTAAGTCACCTCTTCAGCAGCACTTCTTTTCAGCATTGACCTAGTGTCCATCTCTGCCTGACTTATAAGTCCAACTGTTCTTCAGCGACTGAACTGTTTTGAGTAGCCTACTGAAAATTTTGCAACAAGCTCCACCCCTCTTGCTAGGCAGAACCAAAGGCAGAAACCGAAAGTGAAACTCTAATATAGCAAATCCTGTCTGTTTCTTGAATGCTGCAATGTTCAACAATAGCTGACATCTAAAGGGCATAATGCATACAAAAAAAAGGGAATTCATCACATTGTTCCTTGCTCTTCTCCATTATTAATCTAAACCTATGTTACAATGATTTCTCTGACACAACTGTTTCCCCAAATGTTCCATTTGGCACACTTCACTTCCTTACGTCAGATCTAGTGATGTCTGAGTTCTGAAGAAGAGTCATACCAGACTTAAAACATTAACTCTTTTTCTCTCTCCATAGATGCTGCCAGATCTTCTGAATTTCTCCAGTATTTTCTGTATTTATTCCAGCCTGCCTAGTTGGCCCAGGAATAAGCAGATCAAGGCCTCTCTCCTGAAAACATTTCGGAAATTCTCCTCCCTCTTTACCCTTTAATCTAACATTATCCCAATCAATATTTGGGTAATTAAAACACCCAGTATCACACTCGACAGTTCTTGCACATCTCTGTGATTCACAGAATACTCCAAGTAGCATGATCTTATCTCACTTCCTTTTCAACTGAAACCAAACGGACTCTGTTTTGATGGAAGACTTCTTCTCTTCCAATACGAAAATGCATTCCAGAATCAATACTGTCACAAACTCTCTCATTTCTCCTCTCCTTTTTGAAAACTTTGTATCTTTGTCTATTAAACGCCAAGTCCTCACCATTGTAAGTTATGTTTCCATTGCTGCCACTACATTATATTGACACTATACTATTTGTGTTTGTAGCTCATCAACCTTATTCACCAAACTTTGTGTACTTATGTACATTCATTGCAATCCTCTCTTAGTATTCCTGTCTTTCTTAGTCCATTCTTACCTAATATGCCACTACCTTCTTGAGCACTGTCCAACACTCTCATTTTATGCATCCTATTCATCTTTCTTACGTGCCCATTCAGTTTAACATTCACCCCAAAACCTCGAACCACACTACTGAAGACATTGGTCCCAGTCCTTTTGAGGCATAACTTGTCCGTTTTGAGTAAGTACCTTCTGTCCCAGTACTGGTCCCAATTTCCCAAGAATCTAAAGCCCTCCATCCTGTCTCACAGTTCAAGTCACATATCGTCCAATTTCGACTCTGGTCAGCACATGGCACTGGGAATAATCCAGTGATTCTGGGATTCACAGCTGAAGCAAATCTCATTCACCTTGATGTATGTAAATACACACACATGTATATATGCATGCACGCGCAAGTACGTAAACACTCACGCACATGTGTACACAGAGTCATACGTACACTAACACACATATACACCAGTATATACATATGCATGCACATACACACATGCACATTCATCCACATCCACGTACACTCACGCATGTACACAAATGCACATGAATACACACATACGCACGTATGTACACCTGTAAATACAGACATGTTCACACATTTCTCACAGGGTTAAACAAACTCCAATCATTCCCATGTTGTTTGGCTGTTGTAGAACTATCCTGGATAAATCTATCATCTTGACACCGACAGGAAGCAAACCTCTCCCATCCATAGGATTGAAACTGGGAACTTGGGTTCTGTTTAATTTATTACCATAAACTACTTATTATCTAACACATCCATCAAGCAAAAGAAAGGCTTAAAGAAATGTATTCTAAAGAAAACCAACAGACCTTTTTCATCATCACAAGTTGACGTGTTGTCCTGTCCTTCACTCGGAACCAGTTGCTCCCCAATTGTTGGACAACATAAAAGTCCACACAGGGCCAGTAGTAACTGATGCTTCCGTGTTTGGCTGGCCTCAGTGCCAACCGGGCTCCATCTTGCTGACAGGAGAAAATATGCAGGTCAGATTTATACAACAACCATTGGAACCCCCACATCTAACAGGGCCACCTCAGCCATATAGTAGCTTGAAGGAGAGAACTTCTACAGTGAACATCACAACCTCAAAATGTACCAAAGCATTTCGCAATCAATAAACTACATTTTGAAGTGTAGTCATTCGTGTAAAAATGCAGTCAATTGTGCACTGCAAGCTCCCACAAACAATTACATGATAATTATCAGATCATCTACTTTTCGTGATGCCGTTTGAGGGATAAATGTTGGTCAGACACTGGGATGAGCTCTCCTTATCTTTTTTGTGACTGTACTCCACCTGAAAGGACGGATGAGTCCTCCTTTTACACCTTGTCTGAAAAATGGCACCTCCAATGCTGCAGCACTCCAGTAGTACCTGCACTGGGATTTACTGACTCTGGGAGTGTTAGTCTGGATAATACACCTTGGTAGCTCAAACTTACTGGTTCAGGAACAAGTGTGTTATCCAGTGAGGAAACAGCTGTTACAGGGGAGTGACCATGCAGCAAATGATCACACTTTACTTCATGCCCCTCGGGGTGGCACCATGCTTCAGCTCACCCACCACTTGTGGAAACACTGTCCCCACTGCACACCAAGGTCATCATACTCTCTAAAAGTAAACTTACCAGAGGCAATGGCACAAGAAACAACGATAAATGACCAATTTGTGAAACAACAGTGATAATAAATATAGAAAACAGAAACAGGAGTAGACCATTCAGCCCTTTGAGCCTGCTCACCATTCATTATCATCATGGCTGATCATCCAACACAATAGACTGTTCCTGCTTTAACCCATTTCCTTTGATCCACTTAAGTCCAAGAGCCATATCCAACTCCTTCTCAACATCATACATTGTTTTAGCCTTTGCTGCTCTCTGTGGTAGTGAATTCCACAGGCTCACCACTCTCTGGGTGAAGAAATTTCTCCTCATCTCAGTCTAAATGGTTTACCCCATATTCTTAGACTGTCACCCTGGTTCTAGTTCTCTACTATCTGGAACATGCTTTGTGCATCTACTCTGTTTAGCCATGTAAGAATTTTGTACATTTCTATGAGATCCCCCCTCATTCCTCTGAATTCTAACCAATATAATCCTAACCAATTCAATCTCTCCTCATATGTCAAACCCACCATTCAGGAATCAAGTCTGGTAAACTTTTGCTGCACTCCCTCTATAACAAGCACATCCTTCCTCAGATAGGAAAATCAAAAGAGTATCCAATATTCTAGGTGTGGTCCTGTATAATTGCAGCAAGCATGGTCCTCAGCAAGGAATCACACACTTACCATGGTAACAATCACTCTGTCCACAAGGTTTTCCCCCTCTTGGTTTGACAGGACAAGTCCTGAATCCAACAAGTCAAAAAACTGATCATTTTCCAAAAAGCCCTCAATGAATGTTTGTCTCAACTCATCCAAAACTTGAGCGGTGAGTTCCCTCCTAAGCCTGCAGAAGGCAATTGCGATGGAGTTCTTGATGAACGGGTCAGATAAACAGAGACGCCGACTCTTCTTCCTCTTTATGGTCTCTTCTTGCTGTGAAGCACTGTGGTCTCTCAGTGAGCTGGCTGTGTCAGGCCAGTCTGGATGGACCACATCTGCTATCGATTGAGACATCGAGTCATTGCCATGTTCTTGACAGGTCAAATCCCCAAAAAACACAGACAGTGAATGCTGCAATTTACAAACTTCCTCTGAACCTCCAACTGGTTTGTCCCTCTTTTTACTTGGATCTGTGTACAGGTCGACTCCATCGCACTCACCTGCTTCACAATATAATTCCTCCTCATTTTCTCCCACCAACCAATCTTCATACTTGGGAGCTTGGGAGAAAATCCCAGCCTTCTCAGGCTCTTTGGTGAAGTTTTCATTCTGGTTGGAATCAGTCTCAGAGATGGGCACTTGCACAAGTGCCCTGTCACCACCGTCCATGGTGTTGTCAGGTCTGACCCCAGTTAACTGTCCTCCTGAACCTTGCACATTCCCAGCACTGAGATTGCCTTTTACCAGGCCTGGGTTGGGACTTGTCCCTAAACTGAAGGGGACGGTGCTGGATGCTAAGGTCTTGACAAAGCTGGTGCCTCGACTGGGTGTCTCCTCGTATTGAGTCTTTGAAGAGTCATGGCCAGTGGGTGTGTGATGGATTCTGTAGTCACTGGATTGGATTGAGTGTACCGGAACAGTTTCTGTGTAAATGCAGGGGCTACACGAGAAAGTGTACTTGAACTTGCACTCTGCTTGTGGCCCAGTTTCACTGATGGGATGGGTGGTCACACAGGAATGACTTTGGAACCCACCAGAGGGCACAAGCTGAGCCGTGAGATCTATGTCACTCTCAGTGGCAATCAGAGACTCAGTTCCTGTTGGGAGCTTAGTTTCTCCACTGCTGACAGAAATCATATCCCTGTTGGAAAAGTAGGCAGATATTAGATTCACTGCATCAGTTATGTTGAGACTTGAAGGTGGAGTTTGATGGGAGGAAACAAAATGTTTCAATTTATTCACACTTTGATGACTATTTATTCATTTATGAATATCAAGAGTATGAGAACTGGTGTCTGGACCTAAAGTATTTCACTTCCCACTACACTGTCCCATTAAACACTCACTGGAAAGGTACAGCATGAGGTCACATACAGAGTAAAGCTCTGTCTACACTGTCCCATCAAACACTCCCAGGAAAGGTACAGCAAAAGATTTGATACACGGCAAAGCTCCCTCTAAACTGTCCCCATCAAACACTCCTAGGATAGGTATACCAGGGGGTTAGATATACAGCAAAGGTTAATCTGTTTTAACTTCAGTCTTCAGTCTCACCCCCACCATCTCTTAATCCTGACGATGCAAGTTGCAAATTCAGATCACTCCCAGACACCATCAGAATCTTCTGTAATGTTGGATCTATCATTTATCCTAACAGTTAAACAAAATTAGTTTTTTAACTACTTTAAAACTTCACAAATATATTTTGAGCTTGGAAGCTAAACAAACTGACAGATAAGAACATCTGAAGAAATGTTCAGAACAAAACTCACTCAAAAAATCCGGATTCATCTGTCTCTTCTGGACTCAGCAAGGATTGCTCGCAGTCTGAAAGGAAAAATAAGCAGAGTTTTACAGCTGCCTTCACAATAGCAAATTAAAAAAAAGAACTTTCATTGCTAACGTGCCTTTTACATCTTTAGGAAACTTCAAAGCACTTTTTAGCCAATGAATGCTTCTGAAGTGTGGTCGCTACTGTAATGTAAGAAATGAGGCAGCCAATTTGCACATAGCAAGTTCCCATAAACAGTAATGGAATAAACATGAGATAATCAGTCTCTGCGATGTTGAATGTGGAATAAATGTTGATCAGCATGCTAGGGTTAAACACTCATGTCATACCCTGGAGCATTAGCCTTAATTTTACATTAACTAGAAGGAATTTAGAAGTGCTGACTGGGAAGCAAGATTGCTGGCACCTTTACAGAGTAGCTGCCACCCTCTATCCTGCAAGCCCCAGTAACCAAATGTAACCTTTCTCAAAGAATTGCTCTTCATCCACTTCAATTTGCAGTGAATCCACTGTGTCTGAAATAAGGGAATTCATTCTGCGAGGTTCTTCTGGTCTAGGGAGAAAGAGAACAACAGTGAATCTGCAGGATCCTTTTCGAATCTGTCACTTTATCAGACACAAAGTTTCAGACGAAAACAACAGTTTGAATTAAGCAATGTTTGGAAGATTTCCAGTGGCTGGGATTTCTAAGATGACCACTGACAGTACTCTCAAAATGATGAAGAGCCTCTGTATATTCTCCCCCTTCTGGTTCTCTGTGTCCCAACCCTTCATCTCCCTTTATTTCCTTTTCATTTATTTTCTCCTTTTCCCTCTCTCTCCATTCTCTATTTCTCTACTCTCCCTCTATTCTCTCTGCTACCCACCAATCCCACCCCATCTTTCTACCTCACCTCTCTCCCTCTCATTTTCACACTCCACCTCTCCAACCTAACATTTTTTCCTCTCACGGATTTTGTCAATCTTTCTCTTCTTCTCTCTCTTTCCAGGTTTTCCCTTACTCTCCTGCTTGCTTTACCCAGGATTTCTTTCTCTCTCTCTCTCTCTCACTCAATCTCTTTTATTTACTTTCTTTCTCGATTTCAGGTTTTCTCATTCTCTCCCTCCTGGGTTTTTTCATAGTTTCTCATTCTCTCTCCCTGTCTCTCCACCAGCACCACCCCCATCCCCCTTCCCTCCATTATGGGTTTCCTCACTCACTTTCTCTGAGGGTTTTTTCTTTCTCTCTCAGGACTTCTCACACTTTCTTTCTCTCCCTCCTTCTCTCAGTACTTTTCTCTCCAGGTTTTTTTCTCTCTCTGCTCCGTCCTGGGTTTTTTTTCTCTTTCTCCCCAATTTTTTTCTCACTCTCTCTTTCCAATCTTTACCTCCTGGGCTTTTTTCCTCTCTCCGTGTTTTCTTTTTCTCTTCCTCTCAGTTGTCTCTTTTTTTCCCCAGAATCTCCCCCACACACTCTCTTTCTCTGAGTTTTTTCACACTCACTCACTCTCTCTAATAGTTTTTTCACACTCACTCTCTTGCTATCTCTGGGTTTGTTTCTCTCTGGGTTTCTCTCTCAGTTTTTTTCACACTCACACTCTCTCTCTGGGTTTTTTTCACACTGTTTCTTTCTCTCTCTCTCGCTCTGGGTTTTTTCCACACTTTCTCTCTCTCTGGGTTTTTTTCACTCTCTCAGGGTTTTTTCCACTCTCTCACTCTCTCTCTCAGGGTTTTTTCCACTCTCTCTCTCTCCGGGTCTTTTCACACTCACTCGCTCTTAGGTTTTTTTCCACACCCACTCACTCTCTCTCTCGGGGTTTTTTTCACAAACTCTCTCAGGTTTTTTTTCCACACTTACTCACTCTCTCTCTCTCTCA